TCTGTCACCAATATTGTTTTTATGATTTATAAACAATTTCCATCGTGGGCTACTCCACTGTCAATTTCTATGTTTTGCTGATGACATCAAGTTATATCTTTGCGTAACCTCACCAGAATATTACGCAAAACTCCAATCTGACCGGAATCAGTTCTCTAATTGGTTTAACACTTTAGATTTATCAGTTAATCTCAATAAATGCAAAATTATGACCTTCACTAGATCTCGCTCTCCCTTAATATTCCCATACTTCATCAGTAATGCAGCTGTTACAATTAACTACTATATTGAGCAACTATGGACTATGTCATGAATCTTGGCTCCAAACTAAGCTGCGGCCTGCGATCTTGACCCAACTACTCACATCGAGTACATATGTTGTTAAGCTTTGAAAACTTTTGGTCTGGTCATATAATTAATAAAGGACTTTCGGATTTTTCTGTTCAATTGTGTGCCGAAAATTAGTTATTAATTAAAATAAACGTGCAAATTGTATACCTATACACATATCAGTGGAGCGTATCATAAAAAAAATAGATGTTGCTCAAATAATTTTAGGTGACCTACCCCTCATTCTACTGCTGTTTAATTTTCAAATTTGAATGAAAAAATATATTCTAAATAATAATTATAATTAAAAATTTAAAGGTAGTTTAAATAACAAGTGTAATAATTAAAATTAAAATTTTTATCTTTTTTTTTATCCAGATAAATAGTATTTATCTTTTATCTTTATCTAGATGATTAAGTTATTAATCATCTTTTATCTGTATCTAGATAAATTAAAACCAATTATCTTTTATCTTTATCTAGATAAATATTTAGTTACTGATGGTAACTTATAACTAAAACCTATATGAACCTATCAACATCTTAAAAATATACAAAACAACAAATTTATTTAAGCTAGATTTGGTATGTTGTCAAGACAACACAAACTTAAGCTTCACCCAAATTATCTTAAGCATTTCTGTCTAAAGATTCACAATATGCGCTAAAAACACTATTATATATAGAACCAACTGGTATTAAAATTAAATATTTTTAAAAATTATTTTGTTGACTTTTATTGCACCTGTTGGCAGTTTTTATTATAATATACTAGTTAATTAATATGAATTTAGGAACAATACGTTACTCATTTAATTATACTGGAAAGTTTGATGAATCTTCCAAACGACTTCGACTTACGGCATGAAAAACGGCACATGTGCTTTTTAACAATATATATATGAATAATAATCGATGGGCGTCTTCTGGCCGAAGAAATATAGAGAAAAAGGCAGCATAGTTAGTGCGTCCAGCCTTTTATAGACTTTGCTGCGGACAGTGTCATCAGGATACAATAAAATAATACGTTTAGCACAATAATTGATGACACTGCCGCACAGCAGAAACACTATAAAAATCTATGAAAGCAAAATAAAGATAGATCGAGTGGAGAAGACCATAATAAATAAGAATATACGAAAATATGAAATTTGAAAAATGAAAAATGAACAAAAAACGACTATCAGATAACAGAACTCAAGGTGATATTGGGAACGGTGTATGCGACAGACGTGCCTCAAGATCGCGCTGCACTCGCGCGAACACCCTCCTTTGAAAGGATATCCTTTCAAACACGTTTGAATTGAACTGAATATAATATAAAATGTCTAGTGAAGACTATAAATGAATTATAAATCTTAATACAAATAAACGTGTATACAAATGATTACATAGCATAAATTATCATGATTTATGAATATAAAATGAAATTAGTGAATGTTAAATATAATAAATTAACAAAGAAATAAATAGCCCAGAGGCTTTACAAAGTGGAAGCGTTGATGTTGATTTCTTCTTCTTGAGCTGCAGGCAAAGTAGCTAACTTGACCACCGGACGCTTGCACTCTAGGCTAGCAGAATTACGGACAGTTGCAGCTCCTACTATTCCATCTAGTCCTGGGTGAGTTTTTATTATGCCTACTAAATGCAAGTGAATGGGTGGCAATGAATCATCTTTTAAAATAGCAAGATCATCGACTTGCACATTTCTTGTTGGCTTGGTCCATTTGCCTCTTTTTTGAACTTGAGGAAGATATGCAGAGGACCATCTTTTCCAGAAACCTTGCATCTGTGATTGCATTAGGTGAAATCTACGTAATCGATTCAACGGAACATTTGAAATATCTATTTCTGGTGGTAACATCAGAGGACCACCAACAAGGAAGTGACCAGGTGTTAGTGCTGTGAAATCAGACGGAGATGCAAACAATGGTGTTAGTGGACGAGTGTTCAAAACCGCTTCGATTTGACAAAGTAAAGTTGTTGTTTCATCATATGTCCTCATTACACCTTTTGAAATGCAGTAGAGGTGCTTCTTTGCAGACTTGACGGCCGACTCCCATAGTCCACCAAAATTTGGAGACGATGGGGGAATGAATTTCCAAGTAATGCCTTTGACTGCCAAAAATTCGTGAATTTTGCTATCTTTGTTAAATTCTCGAAGCTTCCTTTGTAACTCACGATCAGCACCCACAAAATTAGTGCCATTATCACTATAGATTTAAGAACTTGGCCCCGCCTTAACATGAATCTGGATAATGTTGCTAAAAAATCAGCAGTTGTGAGGGAAGATACCAATTTCAAATAAACAGCCCTGGTGACTAAACATACAAACACACAAACATAACCCTTTGTCGGTGATACACTTCGCAAACCACTTCAAATGTTGAATGGTCCACAGTAGTCCACTCCCACTTTTGAAAGCGGCCGTTCGATAGTCACACGTTCTCATGGAAGAGGTGCCATGAACGGTGGGATGAATTTGGGCCTGGAACGGAAACATTGTATACACCGGGATACTGTTTGTTTTGCTATACTTCTCCCTCGGATTGGCCAAAATTCATTGTTCATATGTGCCAAAAATGACTGTGGTCCTATGTGCAATAGCTTGCAATGATCGTAGTCAAATAATAACTAAGTAATTTTACCTTTGAAAGGTTAGAACCTACAATTGGAAATTTTTTTGAATCCGCAATGGAGGCATTGGTGAGACGACCACCCACACGAATCAGACCAAGTGTATCAATGAAAGGGTTCAGTTGCTTGAGGCAGCTATGACGTGGGACTAATTTACTGACTTTAAGAGCAGCAATTTCATCAGGGAAGGCTTCAGCTTGAGTTTTCAACAACCCAAAATGCTTTGCCCATTGAAGTATTTCACTACGAATGAAACCAACTATGTTTTGTTTTCGTCGCCTGGAAACAGGAAAACAATTGACAGTGAATCGCTGTACTAATACTGTTATTCTCAACAGTTTCATCCAATTTGAATAGGTATTTGATATCCAAGCTGGATATGGTTGCACGGTAGTTAATATTAATTTTACTGGCCTAAGCTCAGGGAGTTCTGATGGTAAAGTTGGAACGCTGGGTCACACGGTACGTTCATTACTTAACCAAGTTGGTCCAATCCACCATAGTTGCGATGAGGAAATTGAGCCAGCATCTAGACCTCTTGTTATGAGGTCAGCGGGGTTATGATTTGTAGGCACATGAAACCATTGGTTGGACGTGGTTAAGTCGAGGATACGAGCCAATCTGTTTGAGACATAAACTTGAAACAGATTCTGGCTTCGAATCCAAGAAATAACAATAGTGGAATCCGTCCAAAGGTAGACGTCTGAGGGTGCTATGATAATATTTAATAACTTCAATTCAGCTTCAACCTCAGATATCAGCTCTGCTACAAGTAAGGCTCCACACAGCTCTAGCCGAGGGATTGTTGAATGTTGAATTGGAGCTACCCTAGATTTTGAGGTTAACAGATTTACACCAACAACGCCTGCAGTAGTGGTAAACGCAGATAAACGCATTTACTGAACGCCTCTTGTGAAGCATCGCAGAAGCCATGAAGTTCTAACTTAATATAATCTCCAGAAATCACTCTTCTTGGAATTTTTAATTGAGTAAGTAATTGCAAGCTGGAGTAAAATTTAATCCAACGAACTTGCAAATCATTGGGAATTGCATCATCCCAACATAATTTAAAAGTCCATAGTTGTTGTAGGAGTATCTTGCCTTTTATGAGTACAGGGGTGATTAAACCAATAGGGTCATATACGCTGTTTATGTCTGATAACAAACTGCGTTTTGTCATGCATGTTGGCGCAGACCAGTCTTTAACAGCAAAATGAAATGTGTCTGTGGTTGGTTGCCAAAGTAACCCTAGGGTGCTTATCATATCTTCCTCATTCAACTAAACAATGAAATTTGTATCGTCGGTGGCATCAGGTATGCGATTAATGAGCGAACGAGAACTGGAACACCATTTTTTTAAAGGGAAGCCAACCTGATTTAAGATTAATTGTAAACGTTGATGTATTTCAAAACATTCATCCTCAGATCTTCCTCCACTTAATAAGTCATCAGCATAGAAATTCTGAGCAAGGATAAATTTAACTGAACTATCATGACTATCTGGAGAAATGTTATGAAGACAACGAGTGGCTAAGTATGAGGCTGATTTGGTTCCATAAGTAACAGTGTTTAGTTTGTACTCTTGCAAGGCTTCATCAGGGCTGGTACGGAAGAATATACGCTACAGATTGCAGTCCTCTGATGAAACTAAAACTTGTCGGTACATTTTAGCTATATCCGCTTTGATGACTATGTTATAAATGCAAAAACGCCATAAAATTTTTATTAAATCTGGCTGCACCTTTGGTCCTCGAAGAAGGATGTCGTTCAGTGATAGTCCGGATGAAGCAGCAGCAGACCCATCAAATACTACTAGAATCTTGTTTGTCGAGCTATCCATCTTAAACACAGCATGATGTGGTAGATAATATGTCGGACCTTGGTAATCAATATCAGCCAATTCCATGTGCCCCAAGTCCCTATACTCATCCATGAATGCCTTGTAACTCCTTGCTAATGTAGCATTTTTGATTAGTTTCTTCTCTAAATTTAAAAATCTTCTTCTAGCCATTGAGCACGAGTCACCAAGATAACTAGGGGTCTTGCTTAAAGGGTAATTTGACTATGAACCTTCCAGAAGCATTTTGAGTATATGTTGAATTGAACATGTTTTCAGCCATGTTCTCTTCGATTCGTTTTGAATTGGCAACGGAGGTGCATAATGAGGGAGCGCTGCTACTGGATAGTGTAGTCAATGATGTGTTGTTGTGTGACAGAATTGGAAGCTTCCCAGCAATCATCCATCCAAAATCAGTTTGGTATAACGCTGAATGCTTTGATAAAGGCCATTTTCCGGGACCAAGTATGCCAAAAAATATATCGGCTCCCAACAGAATATCGATAGTGCCTGGGACGCCAAACTGAGGATCCGCCAACTTTTCTATGATGTGATCAGGAATGTTCAGAGTACTTTGATTTATCGATTTGGTGGGTAATGCTGATACAATGACTGGTAATGTGTGCAAGGTAACATCGAAGCAATGTGGACCAAGCTGAGACGATATGATTGTTGTTGAAAAATACTTTGCTGAGGAGTTCATGGACCCAACGCCAGTGATGCAGAAATCATTCTGATAAAAGCTTAATCCTAACTTCTTGGCAAAATTTTGGTCAATGAAGTTTAGCTGTGATCCAGAATCTAAAACAGCGCGGCATTTGTATCGTTGACTATTGTTGTTATAAATATGAATGATAGCTGTTGCAAGCAAATCAGTTTCTTCTGAATGGGACTGAACTTCCTGACTGAAAGCAACTATGTTATCATTATTTTCAGCGTTAGGATCTTGGGCAATGACTGGTTTTGGAATTTGACTAACTCCCTTGTCTTCGTGTAGTTTAGAATTGTGGCGTAATCGATACTTCAGGCAATTAGGAAAATAACATGATTTAACGCGATGCCCCGCATTTAAACAATTGTAACAAAGCGAGAGTTTTGTGGCAGTCTGCCGTCGGTCATGTATTGGTAGTTTATTGAATTGATCGCAAAAATACAGTTTATGAGGAGCAGAACAAAGTGGACATTTTGTCACTTTGACATTAGATCCCTGCGTG